ATGCCTAAATCAAGAATCAACAATTGAATTGGAACCTTAATGTCAGAATTAGTAAAAACAAAGGAAATAGGAGAATGTATTTTATACTTCAAATTGAACAGATAACTTGGCCATATATATAGCCTTATAGAATAACAGAAAATAAGAAAAATCTACAGCCACATCTCTATTAACGTGGTTAGTGACTAGGAAATAAACTTGTCCCTAAAGAATAGGGATTATTCAGAATAGACGCAAATCCTAACAACTAACATCATCAACATCCTCCCTTAAACTGAATACTAAATATATTCAGTTTATATTTGGATCTATGCAGACACCCATCTATGCAAACACCCAACATCCTTCTCAGCTTCACAAACATATCTAGCTTCAAAGGCTTGGTCATTATATTTGCAACCTGCTCTTGTGTGTGACAGTGTACCAGCTTTACAACTCCATCTTTAGTAAGGTCACGAAGGAAATGAATTCTGACATCTATATGCTTGCTTCGACCATGTAAAACAGGATTCTTTGAAAGCGCAATAGCCGAACTGCTGTCACAAAAGATTGCTATACCATTATTCTGAATATGATTGAAACCATTCAAAATCCTTCTTATCCAGACTGCTTGACAACACGAGGCTACTGCAATGAACTCAGCTTTAGTGGTGGATAATGTGACTATTGGTTGTTTCTTTGATGACCAAGAAACAGCTCCTGAGCTCAAAAGGAAAACATAACCTGAAGTACTCCTTCTGTCATTTAAATCTCCAGCGTAGTCACTATCTGTACAGGCAATCAGCTTCTCATCTCCATTCTTCTTATAAAGTATCCCAAATTTAGAAGTTCCTTTTAAATATCTCAGCACTCTCTATCCTGCCTGAAGATGAAGTTTTGTGGGGCGATCCATATACCTACTTAGAAGACTTACCACAAACATAATGTCGGGTCGGGTAGTAGTAAGATACATCAGACTGCCAACTATTTGTTTATAACGAGTACTATTCACCCTTAATCCATTCTCATCTCTATTGAGCTTGCAACCTGGAAAGATTGGATTACAGAATTGCATTCAACCATATCGAACCTTTTTAGCACCTCCTGTGTATACTTCTTTTGACATATAAAAATAGACTCTGGTCTTTGCATTACTTATATACCAAGCAAATATCTCATTTTTCCCAAGTCTGTCATGTCAAACTCATGCATCATAGAATTTTTAAATTCAAGAAACATATGCTCATCATTGCCCGTAAAAATCAAATCATCAACATAGAGACAGATAATTAGAATTTTACCTCATTTCCCTGCTTTGATGAACAAAGTATGCTCATAAGGGCACCTCTCGAAACCTTCCTTGGTAAAGTATGATTCTATGCGACTATACCAAGCTCGTGGAGCTTGTTTTAGTCCATATAGAGCCTTCTTTAATCTGTAAACTTTCTTCTCTTCTCCTTTCTTTTCATAACCAAGAGGCTGAGTGCTCCATGGAGAAAGGCTGACTTTACATCTAGCTGAAATAGTGTCCACCTTTTCTGCGCTGCAAGAGAAACTACCAATCGAACTGTCTCCAAACGTGCTACAGGTGCAAAAACCTCAGTGTAGTCAATGCCATATTTTTTGGTGTAGCCCTTTGCAACCAAACGGGCTTTGTACTTTTNACTTTTCAACCTCACCATTTTCATTAAGCTTTGTCTTATACACCCACTTTACTCCAACCTTCTTTACCCCAAAAGGTAGATTAGTCAATTCCCAAGTGTCATTTTTCTATATAGCTTCAATTTCCACATACATCGTTGTTTTCCACTTTACATCTTTTAGTGCCTCTTCGAATAGAACTGGATCATTAGTTGCAAACATAGCTAAATATCCCATGTCTTCTTCTTCAGCTAAACCTTCCCCACTTTCATAATCCCTCATCCAATTTGGTTGCATTCTCATTCTTTGTTCACGAGATTCAATTGAAGGGTCTTAACTTGAACTAGATGAATTTACTTCAGAAGATCCATCACCAGTTTCTCTTTCCTCGTTACTGTTATGTTCATGAATTGCAGCTTCATCTCTATTTTCAGTAGCTGCATCTTGTTCTTCGTCATTTTCGCCCCAATTCAAATCAATCAAAAATGAATTCCTCATGAGTTTTGTCCCAATCCCAGCTGCTATCTTCTTCAAACACCACATCTCTACTTATTATAATCTTCTGAGAGATAGGATCATATAATCTATACGCTTTTGACTCCTCACTGACTCCAAGCAAAACACAACTTACACTTTTGTCATCGAGCTATGTTCACTTTGTAATTCTCAACCTTTTGGTTAGAGTACAATCACTAGTAGAGATCATTTATTACTCACTAGATGCCCTCTGCAAAGGTTTTAACAAAGAGTTCACATAACATATGTATGTTTTCCATTTTTTATTCAACTGAAATGATTTCTATAGAAGTAGTTTTGGCGAAAGAATTCACGCAAGAGACCAGTATTTTCCTTTTTTTTTCATGCTTACTCTTGTAGTCTCTCTTTATTTACATTACCTCTGTACACACGATCTGCACACACCATCTGCACCATGCCGTCGCCGTCGCACCGCATCACCCACCTTCGGCGACATCACAGCCTCCACAACAGAAGAAGTCAGCGACGTCACCACCCGAAACCACCACATTAGAAAAAGCCCACCACGCGACCGCCTGAAACCACCACAGCAGAAGTCGGTGACGTCATCGTTCAAAACCAACGCACCGGAAGAAGCCTACTGCCCAAAAACACTGCATGCCACCGAGCCAAAAAACACTACACACTACCATGCCCAAAAACACCACACATTACACACCACCCAAAAACAGAGAGACGATGGAGAAGAGAGATGTGAGAGAGAGAGAGAGAGAGAGGGAAGAAGAGAGAGAAGAAGTTTTGGGTGTTTTCATTTTTGAAAATAATTTTTCAAAATGACAAAAAGAACACATTTTTAACTATCTCAAAATGAACACTTAAAACACAATTCAAAATGAATTCAAAACTTAAAACTGAAATACGAAGAGAACCGTCCCTAAGTTACCATGACAGAAGGAACTTATTTGGATTACACGTTATGGATGTTTTCATCAACATGCAATTTGTTCACCTTAGAATGGTCAGGACATGATTGTAAATGTTAAGGACATTATGCAACAAACGATGCTAAGGATGGCTTTCTGATGGATAATTCATAATTTGGCTAGTGTGACAAAATCCGCAAAAGCAAGAGAACCCTAAGGTTTGAATCATTTATCATGATGTTTGTCCACGTGGCTTTGAGATTTGCAGAACATTAATTAGACCTAAATTGACTGGCTCAAAAAAATTTGAGGCCCTCGACCTGTTTCATCATCCCATTCCCCGTTTAAAGGTTACATAATTTTGTATTATAAACAGCACAATAGAAGGGAGATAACTCATGTAACATTTAACTATTTGACAAGTTCTCTTAAAACTCCGTAGTTGATTCCATAAATTAATGAACAAACTTTTATGAGACATTTTCAATCGTTATAATTCGTTAATATTACCTCTTGATATTTCCACGCTTCAGTTAATACCACCTGCACTCCAATTTCTGGGAGTAAATGTGAGGTGCAGGCAGTTTCACAAATTATCACCAGAAAAAAATATGTAATGCTCTTAGCGTAAAACTTACAGATGGATCGTTTACTCATCAGAGAAGTAGTTTATTAGTTATTGGAGAGCAGATGTCTCTTGTGGCGAACGTTTAGGTGCAATTTAAGGGTTGGCTACTTAAAGCTACTAATTCCTTGCATATCTGGATAATTCTAGAAGTTGGACTTACAAAGAGCGAATTTAGGAAGAAGCTGTGTTTGTTATTCTATGGGACTCTATTAGCCCAGCATCCAGCATCTACTCATTTGAATGTGGCAAAAATGCTTTTGAAATGTTTTCACAGGATTTTCAGTGGTGTACTACTTATCGCCTTCTGACATGGTATTACCATGCTTTGGTGCTGTAGTAGTTGGGCACCCCAGTTTTCCTAATTCAACCTGCATGATCCTCTCAATTGATTTTTAGGATTTTAGTATAGTTGCTACAATTTGGACAATAACCCAGTGTGTTGATTCGTGTTATTTGTATAGAAAAAGTCACATGCAGCTTAATTTTTGTTGCTATTACAGAAAGACCTGAAGGCCTTACCTTGAATTGTCTGGACGTGGCTAGCGAATTTCTTGAATGTCTATTTAAGTGTTCAATTTTGTTCTAGTGCATGTTGTTTCTTTATTCATATCACTCAATGAACATGTTTGTGTGTTTGTGCTGTACTCTATCGACCAGAAATCATGTCCATATGAAGTTGTAACTAGTCTCATCTCAAGCATTTTTTTCTTTAGGATTGGTTGGACATTGATTTTGGGATTGTGGAGGGTGTTGATTTTATTGCTATATCATTTGTCAAGTCTGCTGAAGTTATAAAGCACCTTAAGAGCTATATTAAGGCACGAGCTCGCGATGGTTAAGTTGCATAGAATTTTTTTTACAATAGTATTGTTTATTGTGAAGGTGAAGTCAAGTCCCTCGGCCGCCCAAACTGTTGGCATTGCCCCTGAATCTGCTTGTTCCCCTTTTGATGATTTATGTTATATTTCACTGCACTTTTTAGATAGGGTTTGTTCTTAGATGTGGCTTATTGCATTATACACTGCTCGTCCCTTGTCACGTGCAACATAATATTACCTTTCTTCTTATGAAAGATCCATCAAGATGGAATTATGCCATTATCCCCCAAATGACGTTCATCAGAATCAGAAATAGTTGAAAAACTTGAGTTGCATTCAGTTTCACTGGGAACTTCATCCATGTGCTTGCGTATTTAAAAGTTTGCAAAATTTTCTTTTATCTAGGTTGGAAAATTATACTCAAATGTGTCTAAAAATATGATGTGATGCAGTGACATATCTGTGATTGCAAAAATAGAAAGTTTTGATTCATTGAAAAACTTGGAGGAGATCATTCAAGTATCTGATGGTGCTATGGTGGCACGAGGAGATCTGGGTGCTCAGATCCCATTGGAACAAGTTCCATCAGAACAACATAGGATAGTCCAAATCTGCAGGCAATTAAATAAGCCTGTAATTGTTGCCAGTCAGTTGCTTGAATCTATGATTGAATATCCTACACCTACTAGAGCTGAAGTCGCCGACATTTCTGAAGCAGTGCGCCAGCAGTCTGACGCTTTAATGCTTTCTGGTGAGTCTGCCATGGGCCAGTACCCTGATAAGGCATTGACCGTTTTAAGAAATGTTAGTCTGAGAATCGAGAAATGGTGGAGAGAGGAGAAACATAATGAAGCTACGGAACTCCCAGGCATAGCATTGTCTTTTTCAGACAGCATTTCAGAAGAGATTTGCAACTCTGCTGCTAAGATGGGTAATAAGAATTTGTCTTCAGATTTCTCATGATTAGTAAATCGAAGTAAATATTTTTCTCTATTTTCTGCCAAGAACTTTTATCCATTGCGGGTACTGACGATCACTTTAATTAACATTAAAACCAAATTGCACTGATGAAAAACAATACAAATATAATCTAAGAATGGAGTTAAGATTCAAAGAACTCCAACCTTGGGTGTGTTTTTATCCTCTATTATATGCTTTTCTTGTTAAAGGTATTAATCCGCGCTTTTATAATGCAACCAACAATTTAAGGGTGGATGCTATTTTTGTTTACACGAAGACAGGTCACATGGCATCTCTTTTGTCACGCTGTCGACCTGATTGTCCAATTTTTGCATTTACTAACATGATGTCTATACACAGACGCCTGAACATGCAATGGGGCCTCATACCATTCCGTTTGAGCTATTCTGATGATATGGAAAGCAACCTCAACAAGACTTTCTCCTTGCTCAAGGCCCGGGGAATGATTAAATCAGGTGACGTCGTAATTGCTGTCTCGGACATACTGCAATCTATTCAGTTATGAAAGTTCCATGAGAGGTAACTATATTCTGCATAAAATGGTCCATCAAGCTATATATATCCCAGCAATTCAGCAGTTTGGCTAATGCCGTTAAAGGTTAAAGAAGATTGCTCGAATCCAATCCTATGGACTCCCTACTTTCACGGGCACATTTTTGTCAGTTTGAGTGCAAATCAGGATGTGTGCATTTTCTTGTAGCAAATATAGTTCCCAAGTTTAGACGTTTTCTTTAATTTTCTTTCATGACACCCCATGTTGGATGACTTTGACTTTGTTAAATTAGAAACTTCATTTTGTTTGAGATAAACTTCATTTTTTTTATAAGCAACTGTCAAACATTGATCATTTGATCTGCTTTATTTATTCCTTATTTTGGCTCATCTCCATTAACTATTTTTAGTGACCTCACCATACTTTAAATTTTTTTTCCTTTGATTGACCTCTTGAAAGGACTTATAGTGCCTGTAGTTTGACAAAAGATGGCATATTTATTGTATATATCTGATGAGGCCATGAGACCCCACTCTGCAGTCTAGTATTAAACCTGGAAAAGAAAGGTATATTTGACAGGTTTGGCTTATATGCTATGCTATATTTTATTTTCATCTCAATGAAAATGACCTGATTTATATAATTACATATTCTGTAGTTAAGTATCTTCCCTAATTAAATTTCTCAAGACTAAGGCTACTGGTAATTTGGCTGTCAAGTTCATTTCTCTAATCATAAATATGTTGAATGAAGCCACTTGGAGGGATCCAGGTTGTTAGCTCTTTTTCTTTTCGACCATTAGAAAATAAGAGTAGAAAAACCTAGATATGACTGATAGGATTGAGTTGTGTAAATGCAATTGTGTTCCTAATTATTTATCATTGGAGATTCTTCAAACTCTTCATCTTAGAATTGTTACAGCAAGAACATAATGAAGCACAACTCTAGGAGATATCTGCTTTTGTGGGATTTAAGGTGGGAATTTTGCTATTTATATATTGGTTAAATGAGAAACTATAAAATAAAGATTAATAATTTAAAAATATTAAGAGAAATGAAAAGGTCCTATAAACTTGTAGAGTTACGAATGTATGAATTGGAGCTCTGACAGACTGAAACCAAACATCTCTGATTTAGGTGGTGCCTTCTTGTATGGTGAACTTGTTACTACATTTAAATCACTGGTCTTTTCTGTTTCTCGACTCATTGCCTAATTATTTGACCTTTCATCCATTTTTTAATGTTACTAGAAGATGAGCAAGAAGTTACGCGAATTTTTTTTTATTTTGAAAGATAGGGTGTCCTAATCATACTCTATTCCATAAAATTTTAATACTTCCCACGAAATTAATAAATTAGACATAACTCTTTAGTACAAAATAACTAGCAACAGATCAATCTTCATAAATTTGATCGAAGCTCTGTTCTTTATAGGCTCCAAGCTCGTTAAACCCCTGCTTCATTATTGTTGAAAATTACAATAGAGAATTATCTGAGAATTGAAGAAGAAACAAACCAATGTAGCAGCAACCAAATTCCAACTTGAAGATAAGAAATCAAACTTTAAATATCAACCAAAAGACTTGATCACGGTACCGTCGTCCTCAAACAATATTTGCCCCCCTTTAGGGTTGAAAAATGCTTGAAGAGATGATGGCAAATGGTTTGCAGGATTTAAACAAGCCTTGTAAGGATTAAACTTAGGCAGTTAAGTTTAATCCTCCAAAACTCAA